CTTCTTCTTCTTCTTCAAGAAAAGTGTGAAAACCAGTTTTAGAAAAGAGTGGGAGATAAAGATATAGGTGCAATACATAAAGGTCATTTGTAGAAGTCTGGGCATGGAAAAAGTGAAAAACACATAATGGTAACTTCTATCGAAAACATTTTTACCACACTTCGTGATATAAATTCTTCCTAAAATAAAAAGAAAATGATAGTTAAATGGCACAATGTAGTCAGCGTAGCTCACATCAGTCTGGTTAAACAAACCACCTACATGCATGCTTTTTTTGCATTATTTGTAGTCAAGAAGAAAGAAAAGAAAGGAGCTCTTTGACACTTGAAGGTAACTGTGCATGCTAATACTCCTCTCCTCACTTCTACTCAGTTTCCATTAAGAGTGAATAGTGCCACCCACTGTTGCCTAACTCAGGGAAAAATATTTTCACACATCTCAGGGTACTCATTTTTAAACCTTTTTCAATATTGTAGTTATTTCTGTCATTTCTTAAATACCCTATATTTCCCTATGTTTTTTAGTTTTAGGGAAAATAGGTGGTCCAGGGAAAGAAATGTGTAAGTTCTAATGTGGCTGATGTCCATAGACACAGCAATTTCCAACCAGGACCTAACATTTTAAATTACTTCATTAATTGACACTTTTACAGACTGTACACATACATTGCGTGTACCTTATCTATTATTTTCTATAATATTTCCATAGCAGCATCTCCGTGCAGTGTTTAGTGATGGAGCTCTTAAAATAGTAACCCATTTGTGTGAGGAAGCAGGGAAAGTCTGACTAACGCTGTTGGCAAGTTATCAAGTTCCCCTCCCAATGTCACACCTTCCCCTTTCCCTTCCTTGCATTTTCCTGACTTCTCTTTCAGTCTTAATCCCTGAGTTGAATCCTAGTCTTTCAATGTCTGCCAGTTCCCATTCCTCTCCTAAGTGTGATTGAAATATGAAGACATGGAATCCTTCAACCTGGAGTGGCCTAGGCAGTTGATCAGGTCACATTTCATGAACAGCAGTGGATAGCGTGTGAGAATGTAAAGCATTCATGGGGAACTGGACTTCAGTTTAGCTTGAGTTTTGTAAGTCGAGCCTCCAGGGATTTCATGGCTTTTTCTTCAGTAAAACTGTATATGTGGAGATGGATGTGATGGCTCACACATGTAATTTCAGTTAAGACAGGAGGATTGCAGCAAGGTCAAGGCAGCATGGGATACACAGTAAGTAATAGGCCAGCCTGGGCTACAGAATGAGACTACCTCAAAACAAACAAGCAAACAAATAAAATTAAAACAAAATGTATGTTTCATGTCACAAGTAATACAATTTACAAAGGCCTTGTCAAAATTCATTTGATATTCAAGGGCTCTGTATTTTTATGTTGTTTAATACTTTTAACCAACTGTGAACAATTTGTCCTAAAATTCAGTATTTGCAATAATTCTTCACGACTCCTCAATGACTGTCAGGTTCTTAAATGTGCTCAATCCAGGCCATAACTCATTAAGAACTCAACATTTTAAACAAACCTCATAACTACACATATAGGACGTGGTAGAAGGTTCTGCATTAGAGTAAGAAGTGTTCATTTAGCCCCTACCCTGAAGCTATGACCACACTCCATTATCTTGGATACACTATTATCAACCTCTCGTGTGTGATTGACATTTAAAACATGCAACTTTAAAACCCTTCCTCCCATTCCTTCCATATAACCCACCCACACCCCCATCCACTCATCAGAGAGGGTAAGGCACATTGCTTTAGGGAAGATCCAAGGCCCTCTCTACTATATCTAGGCTGAACAAGGTATCCATTCAAAGAGAACAGGTTCCAAAAAGGCCAGTACAAGAAGTAGAAATAAATTCTGGTGTCATTGCCAGTGGCCCCACTGTCTGCCCCAGCCATACAACTGTCTCCCACATTCAGAGGGACTAGTTTGATCATATGCTTGTTCCTTCCCAGTCTGGCTGGTATTGGTGAGCTCCAACAGGTAGACTGTTTCAGTGGATGTCCCCATCATGGTCTTGACCTCTATGCTCATATTCTCATTTCTTCCACTCTTCAACTGGACTTTGGGAGCTCAGGCCAGTGCTCCAGTGTGGTTCTCTGCCTCTGTTTCCATCAGTAGCTGCATGAAGGTTCTATGGTGATATTTAAGATAGTCATCAGTCTGACTACAGGACAATGCCAGTTCGGGTACCCGCTCCTCTATTGCTTAGGATCTTAGCTGGGGTCATCCTTATGGATTCCTTGGAATTTCTCTAGAGCCAGGTTTCTTACTAACTCCATAATGGCTCTCTCAATCAAGATACCTCTTTCCTTGCTTTCATCTCTGTCCTTCCTCCATCTCGACTATCCCATTCCCTCAAGTTCTCCTCCTCCCCCTCCTCTTCTCCCCTCGGCTTCCCCTTCCATCCTCCCTTCTCCCCCCACCCCTATGCTCCCAATATTGTCAGGTGATCTTTTCTATTTCGACTTTCCAGGTGGATCCATATATGTTTTTCTTAGGATTCTCCTTATTACTTAGCTTTTCTAGGATCATGAAGTATAAGCTCAATATTCTTTGTTTATAGCTAGTATCCACTTATGAATGAGTACATACCATAGTCATCGTTTTGGGTCTGGGTTACCTTACTCGGGATGTTGTTTTCTAGTGCCATCTATTTACATGCAAAATTCAAGATGTCATTGTTTTTTTTCCCTGCTGAATAGTACTCTATGTTCATAGCAGCATTATTTGTCATAGCCAGAACCTGGAAACAACCTAGATGCCCCTCAACTGAAGAATGGATAAGGAAAATGTGGCACATTTACACAATGGAGTATTATGCGGTAGAAAAATATAATGACATCTTGAAATTTGGGGGTAAATGGATGGATCTAGAAAACATCATATTGAGTGATGTGACCCAGACCCAGAAAGGCAAATATCATATGTACTCACTTATAAGTGCCTTTTAGACATAAAGCAAAGATAAATCAGCCTACAATTCACAATCTCAGAGAATGTAGACAACAATGAGGACCATAAGAGAGACATACATGGATCTAATGAACATGGGAAGTAGAAAAAGACAACATCTCTTGAGAAAATTAGGAGCATAGGGACCATGGGAGAGGTAGAAGGGGATGGAGGAGAGAGGGGAGTGGAGAAAGATATATAGCTCAATAAAAAATGTGTAAAGAAATAAAAAATGATTTGCCTTTCTCTAGAGTGTTCTAAGTTTTTATTTAATCTGTGATTTTATTGTACTTCTTTGTTAAGTATTGAAATGAAAATATATATGGGCTTAGTTCACACATGTCCAATCTTCTTGAATGTAGTTTCTGAAGAAGAGTTTAGTGAAAAGTGACAACTTTTTGCCTGTCAAGAGTTATGCTTTAAAAATGGGCATGCCAATTTGTAGATGATCCACTGATTGAGGAAGGTTTTCTTAGGCATACCAGACAAATGAACGAACAAGAAATTCCATACATGAGAAGGACTTGAAGGACTGTGTGCAAAGCTGGAAAGGGAAAGTGGAGGGATGCAAATGATGTAAATACAGTGCTCAAGCATAGAAGTATATGAGGAAAATAATACTTTATTATGTCTACAGAAAATTGTAACCCACCAACTGGCACACTCACGGAATAGAAATATTGCAGTCAAAATTTTGTTCCAGTCATTTGCAGAAGACTGTGGTATATCATTCCACGAGCCAGGGAATAATAACTAAGGGGAAACAAATCATGAAGACTTGGTTGAAGTAGTAGTATCTAAAAAGGATACTGAGTATCACTTTTCTCAGTTTTTCTTTTTCTCTCATCTTGACAACAGTTTCCCCTCCTTCCACTCTTCCCAGACCTCCCCATACCTTCTCTTTCCCCCAGATCTACTTTTCCTCTTGCTTTCCTTAAAAAAGAGCAGGCTTCCCAGGGATATCAACCATAACATGGAATAACAAGTTACAATGACTAGGCACAATGACAAGGCTAGAGGAGGTGAGCCAGTAGTAGGAAAAGGGTCCCAAGCACAGGTAAAAGAGTCAGAGAAACCCCCACTTCCACTGTGAGGAGTCCCATAAGAACATCCAGGTGTATAACCATAACGTCTGTGCCGAGGACATAGCGCAGACCCATACAGGGCCCATGATCATCACTTCAGCCTCTGTGAGCCCCTATGAGCTCTGTCTAGGTAATTCTGTGGTTCCTGTTCTCCTGGTGTCCTCAATCCCTCTGATTTCTGCAATCCTCCCGCCCCCCTTTTCTGTGGAATTCTCCTGGCTCCACCTAGTGTTTGGCTGTGGTATAATATAGATCCCGCTTTGCCTTAACAGTGGTGGTCAGAGGAATAGTCTCTTCAGATTTTATTACAATGGTTTCATTGTCTCATCAGACAGTGATTACTTGTCAAGCCACCTATCTACACTATTTAAGATACGTGGTATTCCCACTATCTAAAATCCTACTTCCCAACCCACGCATAAAGAACAGTATCTTTAAAAATAGCTCTATACATATAGTAGAGGAAAAGGAAGACTCAAGATATATGGGCACCCACGATTTACTCCTGGAGTCAGAGATATCATTAATTGTAGTGGTTAAAAGCCCCAACGTTGGTACCAGATTGTCTGGAGTCAAAAATTGTTTCGAATTCTTCAAGCTGTGACTCTGCCAAGTCGTTCAATGCCTTTATGCCTCTATTTCTCTACCTGTAAAATGGAATGATAGATCCTAACTCATAAGTTTGTTAATGATTGTATCATTTTCGGGCACAGAACTTTTCATCATGAAATCAGGTTGCATCTGAGTTGGGATTTTATTTGGTTGGTTGTTTGCATTGAACTTGTAGCAATCCTTCCACACTTGTGTATGTGCTGTAGTCACTGGGGTGTGCTCAGCTCATGCTATACACAAGGCTTCATAGAGTGGGGAGGGAGGAAGATAGGCAAGAGAGGAGAAAGAGACACACACAGAGACAGAGACAGAGACAG